GATCTACTTTTCATCCAAATATGTATTAAATCATGCTGAAGTAGTTACTGAATTAAGAAAGGACCATCCTTCCCCCAGCTACTAACCTTGATAAGAGGCAAAATTTTACAAAAATGCAATAACACGCATGACTTGGGAGAAAAAACTTATATTGGTAATGGTCTTCAGTAAAAAGACAAAAAGAAACCAACTAATAATCTTAAGTCCTTTGAAGAATACACATTAGAATTTCTTTTCTATTTATTGAACTTACTTTATTTAGCAGATATCTGTAATACTGTAATACAAGCTTCCTCAAGAGGTCTAAACAAGGCACTAGCTGTACACACAGAGATGGATTTTCAGAACTCAAGTTCTCAGCTGTCTTGTGCTATTGTCAGATGCACAAGATGTGTTGAGTCTTTCAGTAAATTGGGCCAGCTGGAAAACAGTACTGAGTGTGTGACCATTCCATGATGTTTAATGAGAACTGAGAGGCTGGAGATGGCTGGGAAGGGGCAGATATTTCTATCTCAGATAGCTTAGTTGACATTTACAGAACAGACTCTTTTTAAATTCTCCTAGCATTCAGCTTCTCCAGATGCAGTGGAGTGCCAAAGCTGATGTGTATCTGGACTAACAGAGAAGTCTTTCTAAACTGAAATTCTTAAGGGAGATAAAATAACTTATAGAGATATTAAAAAACTTAAACATATTTTTACACTATTTAGGAGTGGACTTAAGGGAATACTTATACCATTTGATTTTGTTTATAGTCTTTTTTAGTTATATTTCAAGAATATTAATGTCTGCAAAGGGAGTATTGGAAGAAGAGGATTTAGTATGTTCAGAGATTACACTCAGAGGATCCAGAATTATTTTGCTTGGATTTTAATTACTGCTTCACCTCTTAATAGTCATATGATTTTGGGCTGTTACCTGACTTCTGAAATCCTCACTTTTTTATCCATAAAATGACATAATAATAAATAATATTAACACCTTGCTTTTATTAAGGGTTACCAATAGACAAGGCAAGTGTTGGACACAGTGTAGTATTAAACTATGTATTAAAGTGTTAAATATAGCATAGTATAGTGTAGAATTAATATTAGCAGTAATATGCTAATCTCTAATCTTCACCCTGGCCCTCTGAGGTAGATACTACCGTTCTCAATTTAGAGATGAGAAAACTTAGGGCTATGGAGGCAAAGTAACTTGGATCAAGGTTGCTCAACCTGTAAGTAAGTCATAAAGATGGAATTCCAACTCAGGCTATCAGTTTCTAGATCCTACTCTATAATTTTAATTTTCCAGACATTATAGCGTGTTGGTAGTGGCAAATAATTTGGTGAAGGGGAGGAAGTGTTAAGTATCCTTAAGTCTCTCTACAAGCCTTTCTTGAATATATTTTATGTGTGAAACACTCTTAGTCACTAACATTTTTAATAAGCAAAAATGTTCATACTGACAGACATACTGACTGTACTAACACATCATAGAGAACATTATAAAGCCCCTATCTTATAAATTAGACAAAATCTTGCAGCATAAATGAATCTGCATTAAATTTCAGTCAAATGAAAGACAGTCTTCAGTTGGGCCCTGGGGTAAAATTTGAGAAGAAAGTAGATATATGTGTTCATTCTCAAACTGAGCCCAATTTCTGTCTGGTTTGTCTATGGGTGACAGGTGGAACTGCTGGGAAAAGATGGGACAGAGAAGAGCTGGTGAAGGAGAAAACTGTACATATAATATTATGGTGTAAAGATGAGACCCTGAATCCAGAAGAGGGGTTATTTGCAAGAGGGTCTGAGATTTATGGGAGGGTCTGATTGGAGCATGGACAAGGGTGATAAGATGATCTGTACTGGAGTAGGATTTTGGATCAAGTGCATCCAGCATTAATTTATAGTAAAACACAAGCCTCAGTTGGGTTTTTAGCCTTGTTAAGGATGGTCATCAGGTCATCAACAGAAAACACATACTCCAGCCATTACCTGCAGGTATTAAACCATGGAGGAACTCAGATAATTCTAGTTATGGGGGACAGAGTCCAAGGGAGTTAAGAAAGCTTACCTTAGCTGAGCATTCACTATAAAACAAACGGGGTGAAAAAAGTGTTACATATGCCAGGACCTGGAATTATCTTATCAGCCAAGAGAGACTGTAGGTGTTATCCAGAGAGACTAATGAGTTGCTCAAGGTCACAGGGGACTAAGTGAAGGATCCTGGATTAGTTCCAATGCCCTCATAGTGGCACTGATCCGGATGACATTCACTATGGCTACAGAAGGTAAGTATTCAGAAATAAGAGAAAGTTACCACAGATAAATAAAAGCCATATTTAACATAAACTTTTCTACAGACTGTGCCTACAAATTAAAGAAAATAGTTGCTTTTTAAAAATTTGACTTTTTTTTTGCTTCTACTTTTATGTAGAGGCTTTTTTTTTTGTAAAAACACAGCTATGATAATGAACAAAAAGAGAATGAGGAAGAGGAAAAAAGAAGGAAAGATACATTTATAAATCACATAATCAAAGCTCTGATTTATCAAGTCTTCATAAAAGGGAAAATCCTTCAGAAATCACCAATTCCAAGTCAATCATTTCGTAAATCAAGAAATAGAGTCCCGGAAAGAGTACATAATTTCCTGAGTGGCTTGATTTTGACAGGCTCTTCTCTGCAGAGAAAAAACTCTAATGGATTATAGTCAGACAGTAAACGTCAAACATAATCTAATCTCTACCAATTAGTTGTTATCCAAATTACAGCTCTTTGATTGTTCTGCTGGTGGACCAGGCACTGTGGTCCTAAGATACGGGTGATGGGAAGTTGTTCTGTGGCTTAGCGTTACCATTAGAGAGAGTTGCTACCACAGAGAGTCCTTAGGTTGAGGGACTTGGCCATAAATGGGGGTGTTTTCCACCTTGATGACTTGTCTGAATAAGTTAGTGATAGAGAGTCGTTACACCCTGGCAGTCATTTAGTGGGCCCAGTGGATGACTTTCTGGAAGGCCCAGGCTTAATAACCAATAGGCATACATATACAGATCTCAAGGGTGCTCATCCTAATTGTTCATCACTGATTGTTAAAAGCAGGAAGCACCTCTCTCACTGCTTGCACCATCTCACAGAGTCCTGTCTTGGACTCTCTGCTTGAGATTTACCCCCACCGCCCAGGCTGCTGGAGGCAGTTATTTGAAAAGTGTTTAACATTATCAAAATGAATCTTACTGCTAAAAATGTACCAATTATATGGTTCAGTTCTTACAGAGAGGCCATAGCATATAGATGCTAAGAACACACTCTGAAGCCAAAATAATTGGATTTAATAATAATTAAACCCCATCTCTAATATTTATTAGTTTTATGACGTTGCATAAGCACCTCAACCCTGGGTACATCAGATTCTTTATATCTTAAATGGGAATAATCATAGCACCTCCCTCTACTGTTTGTTGTATGGATTGAAATGAGTTAGTATTTGTTTGTGCTTAGAGACAGCTCTCAGATATTATAAATCATTTGTGTGTTTTGCCATTATGGCTAGGCACCATCGTCTTTCTTTCCAAAAAAAGGAGGCCACCACTCAATATCTGAAACCAAACCTGAATTCATTACTTGCTAAGCAACTGAGAGCTGCACTTATAGGATGTAGCTGCTCAGAGCAAAGCACTGCTAATGTTGTATAGAGTTTTAGGCTTTCCCAAGAGTGGTTACTGTTAATGGGAAGTTGTCATTGATCGACTGGGTTGGGTTTAAAACTGGTTCTGGTGCTACTTGTTACTATAATCAAAAACCAATCACTCATTTCCTTTCTTGAAACTACAGTACAGGAACTTTTTATTTCCACAGTAAACAACAGTTAAGATTATTTACTGAGCAGCTCCCAAGGGTCAGCCAGTGTTCTAGACACTGGGGATGCAGCCTTAAGGAAAGAGACCAAACCTGTGTTCTTGCAAGCTGATCTGCTGAAGTTTGAGATATGAACTATAAATGCTACAAAAATGTATGGGAGACAGAATAGTTATAGTGGAATTCATTCATTCACTTGTTCATTCATTAAATGTGTGTGTCTCTACCACACACTCCACACACAATTCTAAGCACAGTAATGAGCACAATCCAAGAATCTTATGAAATGTGTGTACTATTGGGGAAGCAAGACAAAAGGAACAAAGGAATATATAATCTGATACTTAATAGAGCAAAAAATATAGCAGGTGTTAGAGTGGTCAGGAAAGGCCTTTCTGAAGAACTGACTTCCCTGCCAGTAATGAAAAGAAATGAGAGTGTGTGAGACAGTCGAGTCTGGAACAAGAGGATTCCACGCAGACTTGACCAAGTACAACAGCCTTTGGCTAGAATTGTGTTTCTTGTGTCCAAGGAATGCGGCAGGGGTAGTGGAACTGGAGCAGAGTGTGCTGGAAGTGGGGGTAGTAATGGTGGAGGGGTGGCCAAGGGCACACCATACCCAGCCATGGCAGGGACTCTGGGTTTTCTTCTATTTTCACCGGGAAGCCACTGAAAGATTAGGTTAAGACGTCTCTACAAGTGCCCAATTCCAGCCCTGATACCAGTTTCCACACCACATCTGCCTGCCCCGGTCTCGGCACGGGGTGGGCAGATACCTCTTTGCCCCGCCCCGCACAACTGCCAGGACCTTTTGTCAGACCTCTCTTATCTGGGAAAACTTCCTGTACCTCTTATGACCGACCCTTAGCCTAGGCTCAGGCTGAACTACTGATTTCTCTTTTTTAAGCTGTATCTGCCCTTCTGCCGGCCACGTGATGTTGGTGAAGCTCTAGTCTTCATTTCTCCTTAGCTGCTTCAAGATCCTAGGATATAAACCCCACTCTTAACTGCACCTCCAGGGATGATGTAAATTGTCTTAATACGGCTTTACTAAAGCAGGCATTTGAAAAAATCAAATGATATTCCTTGAGCACCTGCCGTAGTGACGGTATAACACCAGTGGAGGTGAACAGTCACATTCCACCATGAGGTGGAATTCCAGCCATGCTGTTATCCTTTGAGTAACTGGTCCTTCCTCCACATATTGGCTTCAAAGATAAATATTCAAATTGGGCATATTCCAGATTGAGATATGAATAATACCCCAGATTATTTGTACTAATAACAGTTTTTGGAACTAGCAAGAATCATAGAGAGTGTACTCCACCTCCCCTCATTGTCTGAGTAAACTGAGGCCCAGGAAGGTTAATTGACTTTTTATAAATGACAGAACTGATAATATTAGAAGCCATAATAAGTACACCATCTATGATAGAGTGATATATTCTAGGTGAGAAGCTAATAATTTTGCATATTTATTTTATCTATTTTTTTTTTTACAAAGCCCTGTAAGAATGATGTTACTAGCCATAGTTACAGGGATTCTGGCTCTTTATTTATTTTCTTAGGAATATATGATGAACTTTTTTTATTATATTGCTATTTTCTAGTGTTTTGGCTTATACTCAGGTAATTCAGGGAGGGAGGAGGTTTCTGGTACATAGGCAGAAGCAAGGCTTCTGAAAAAAAACTGATGAGGTATGTATGCCAAAATATGATCCACAGTGGAGAAGACCCAGGGTCATATCCCAAATGCCAGGTGCTTAGGCATTCAGGCAGGCATCAAATGAATATATAGGAGTGGGGCCTCGAGTAGGGAGGTCCCAGAGCTGGTGAGCAGGCAGATAGCATCAGATGCTAATAATACCAATAACACCTGAATGAGAAATTTGTGGAGCCTATGCCAGGGACCATGGCCAGCACTGTCAATGCATTATTCATGTTGACAGCAGTTTTTATGAACCAGTTATATAATTGAAGATTAAAGAAATGAGAAAATATATGCTCTGGAAGTTTCAATCACCTGGCTAAAATCACGCACCTGGAAGTGGTCCAGCAGGGATTAAAAGCTATGCTGTCAAACTGGAGAACACAGGTTCTCAGCCCTCATGTACCTGCCTCACAGGTAGGGCAAGGTCATGGTCAGAGACAGAATTAACCTTGAGTAAATGAAGGTCAGGCTGCAGAGTTCCTCAAATGTGGAGGCCCCTTCCCCTTCTCATTCTCAGTAAATATTAACTTCCACACCAGATTTTGTATATGTGACTTTTTCCCTCTTTTCTCCTAGATTCTTCTCCTCCACATTAAATAAGATTCAGGCCTGACCTAACCAAGATCTAGCCCTACCATGAGCTTAGAAAATCTTGCCTTTTCTGGCATCATAAAACTTATGGCTGGGGACACAGGAAGCAAGGTCCATCCTCCAGGACAGGAAGCTGGATAGGAAGTCCCCACCAGGGTCCCCGTGTCTCTCTGCAAATCTCCATGGCTACAGGGTGTCACAGCTGGTGCAGGGAGAAGAGATCATTTGGCAGTACAGTGTTCCCAGGCGTTGCTGGCTGGAGGGGGAGTGCAGTTCAGTTCCCTACAGAGTTGACTCAGGAGCTAGATGAGCTTGAACCTGCAGGAAGGTCCCAGGAGCTGACTAGCGGCATGGCTGAGTGGAGAGAGCATGGACTTTCACATCAGACAGATACGGATTGAATCCCACATCCTTCACTGACTAGTTGACCTTGGGTGACTTACTGGATCTCTTTTAGCCTCGGTTTCATCATATGTAAATTGGTCATTGCTGTGAAGACTAAAGACATGAATGGACAGTGCCTCGCTCTATTGTGGTGCTCTACAAATGTGGCCGTTAATCATACATACTGTGTAAAAGCTAAGTAGGGAAAAGACTGAGGGAATGAGGCAAGAGTCAATGTCATCTGTTATTTATTTATGATTTGTTTTATAGGTGATTGTCTACCTGTATGCTACAGATTTGGAGTACTGCTCTAGAAATCATTCTTTGCCCTGTCCTCCTCTTCATCTAAGACAAAGAAGCCCTTTCATCTTCATAGGGATTTAGTCATTCATGCATACATTCATTTAACCTGTATTTACCAACCTCCTATTGGATGCTGTTCTGGGGGCTGGGGGTACAAGAGGGACCAAAACACTGAGGTCCCTGCTGTTGTAGAGGAGTTGGCCCTGGTTGCAGCAGAGCCTCTCCGCCCTGTGTTATGTGCTAGGAAGGCAGAGGATGTGGACGTAAATGTTGGTACATTCATAATGGGAAGTTGAGAGACATTGTGTCTGATTGCTTTCCTCTTCTGTTACTATGAAGCAGAATGAGGTGGAAAGCATTTGTGGCGTGGGGAGTAATGGATATTTTAAAGAGGGAGAGTACAGTGTAGTCTCTTCAGAGCCTGGGGAGGTGAATTTGCTGAGCAAATGTGAGATGATGGCTGGGCAGTGCTTAGTGCCCACTTGAAATCCTAGTCGTAATTTTAAAAGAAGACTCTCCCTGCCTCGGATAGAGTAAGCACCTTCTTGGGTCCCTTACTGCAAGATCATTCTTTCCAGACATGTTCCAAGAGAGGGTGGAAGTGGGGAGCAAGTGAAAGGAGGAGAAAAACAGCAAAGGAACTAGAGGGAGTATGCTTAACATTACCTCCAAGTATGCACAACAGATACAGCGACGCAAGACTGTGGAGGTACAAGTACGGAAGAGTTAAAGTGGAACCACACGGGAGCTGTGTTCTCCAGTTGTGTGATGAGGTGCAGGCCAAAGACTGAAAATTTTATTTCTCAATTTTGTGGCCACAGAGGTGCACTATAAGTCAAAATAACTATTACTAGTTACTACTTGCTTGGGGAGAGGATCCCACGAAGTGTTTACAAATTTTAGCTCATTTGTTATGGTGAAGATGCTTGAGAAAGTACTCTCAGACCACTCTTCCAACAGCAGATGAATTCCTTAAAGCTGTGTATGTAGTGTTCCTTCATAAATGGAGTAAAATTCAAACAAGCCGAGAGGAATTTTCTGCTTAGATTCTGAGTTTCAGAATCAAAGCTATTTTCATCAGGTTTTTTTTAACGGTGGTGCCATTGTACTTTTCTGTTTTCTACAACCTTTAGTCACCAATCTCTTATTAGCTTTTGGAAAGTTTGGTGTCTAACAGTTACTAATCTGATGTCCTACCTGCAAAAATGTGTGTTCAATGACTGTTAAAATCAATGAGGTATGTAAGTGCGTATGTTCACGTATACATACATTTGTGCACAAAAATGTGTCTGTGTAAACATACCTTAGACCCATGAGTGCACACACTTAGAAACTTCACACACACACACTCCATACACATTACAAGAATGTAAGCCATGAAATTTATCAGTTAATATGATAAGTTGTTGAACTCTTTGAAGAATCCAATTCTTGATTCTTTTGCACCAAGACCTGGAAGATTCCTTGGGAGAGATGGACTTAGATTTAACCATATGTACAAGAACGAAGGAGAAGAGGGGCGTGGTGAAAAAGAGCACAGATGAGAGAACGAAGCCTGACTGTGGGTTGAAGTGGAATATGCCACATGCCTTTGAAGTGAAAACACTCTGACTGCAATCTCTACTCGAGCTGTGTGATCTCAGACAAGTTATTTAACTTTCCTGATCCTCTCTTTCTTCTATAAAATCCTCTACTGGATCTAGCTTACAGACAATTATCTGCAAGCAGTACATATTTAATGGCATAAAATGTTTGGGATGACTAGTTCTGGTCCCTAGTAAGTGCCCAGTAAGTGCTCTTCCCTCCTCCTGGTTCTTACTCACCAGGTTCTACATCGCCCCACTTGGGTTTGGAAAGGCCCCATCTTGTGGTTTCCTGGCTGCCCCTTCTAGGTCCAAATTGCTGCCCTTCCTAAGTGTGGGTTCCTCCCTCACCTGATGATCAGTGCCATCTCGCCTGGCCTTGCTTCAGTTCTGAGTTCATTCAGTTTGGAAAAGAGCCCTATTGCATTTGCTTGTTGATAAATTCTCCCATTTGCCTAGTGTGTGTCCTATGAGACTGTCAAATACCCCTGTGTGGAAGAGATGTTCAGAATATATTTCTTAAATTTAAAGAATAAATTTCAAAACAATATGCAAAATGATGCTCTCATTTTAAAAAAATACACACAGGATGTGGAGAGAACAGACACTGGCATTTTTCACTTCTCCTTTGAATTTGTCC